ATATAGTATTTTTGTTTTTAATTAAAAGACAAAGTATTTTGTTTGTTTCAAGTTCTGCACTTGCACTTGTTAGATGGCTATAGTATCATGCTCTGAGTTTTATAGGGTTTATGGGGCCTAAATTTTCAGCATAGTTTTTACATGAAAATATCAATTATGACAGCAGAGTTGGAAGAAAGTTAAAGAATGATGGGACTGCACAGAAGCTTAATATAAATAAGTGTCAGGGAACGTGGAAAACTTGATATAAGTTGAAAAGGAAGCACTGGAAGTAGCAACAAGGTGATGAGGCTGGGATGTCCAGCCTTTCATTTGAATGCAAATGTATTTGGGGGGCAGGCAGTTATCTCTGACATCAGACAGGGCCTTAGTAAACTGTTACTGCCAGCACCTGGTCACACCATTGTTAGTCATGAGTAGCAATGAGACTCCAGAGCTAGCAGGGGTCATTTATAGATAGACCGAAAAAGTGAAAGAAGCAAGGGTCATTTTAAGAAGACTACACAGCTAATGATGACCACTGAGGAACTGGTACAACTATGAACATCGCATATCCTGGGTGTAAATCAGTTAACATGTATCCGCTTTCTGTAAGGCCAACACATAACAACCATGCAGGACAGAATTATGTGTCCAGTCAGCCATACTTGAACTATGTGGCTTATCATCATGTACCAACCATGGATAACCAAGTGCAGTCCTGTGGAGTCTGGGGATCACAGTATGGGTCACCTCGGGAGGACTGGAGTACTTACTCTGCTTCACCATCTAACGGAAATGCCATACAGACCTCTGACTTATCACCAAGCCAATTTCCTTACAATTCTCCTGGCTATAATTCTCCACATCCTTCTGGACTTGGGATTATGCATACAGCAGAAGGAAATCTTTCAGCTTCACACTCTCCCAGTGGTCAAAGTCAAAATTCTTATGACTGGATGAGAAAAACAGTACAATCTACATCTACAGGTATGTAATAGAAACAACACTAATTTTTTTAGCCACAAATGTGCCTTACGGTTGGGCATATTTATTATTTAATCAAGTACATATATTTGGAATTCAATAAGGATTCTCTAAAACAATTACAGATGAGAAGATTTTTTTTTTAAACCCAAGCCAAGTTTATAACAACAGAGGAGGGAAACCCGTGCAGAGATAATCCACCTGATATAAATATAAATCTATTTATTATATTATTATTTTTAGCAAAATAAACAAATATTAGAATACTCAAGCAGCTCAACTCATTCCTTGCTGACATCTAAAACCTGTTTACCCTAAAAGAATTGTCAGTATTTATTCAAGTAGCATACAAAATTAATATGCTCTACTTGCTGCCATTGAGGAACATGTTTATTAGAGTCATATAATTTAAAAACATATTCACAATATAAAGTCCTCTTCTTTATGCATACATTTTACAGTTTTAAAAGTCTACATTTGGCTGATATTTGCACATACATCTTTCACAATTTAGCATTTAGACTTGCGGGTGGCTTAAACTATCCACAAACTGAGGCAAACTTATTGTATTGTATTTACAAGTCCCCATTTTTTCCACTCAGATTAAGAAGGATCAGTCATTTATAAGGCAGCAAGCAGGTAACTAACAGCTGAACATAGTAGGATATGGAAAAGCTGCACTATCATGTACTCTTCATCAAACAGTAGCAGCATGTTGTTCACATGTGCTATACAATTATTGTACAAAACTAATTAACAACCATAAGATACTGTAGTAAAATGCCTTGTTTATTGTAGGGTGTAACAGGCTTAATAGATCTATAAAAGCTGTCAAACTAATATGAGTTTGGTCACAATTCTCTAAATTAACCGGTCTTCTTTGCAGAGAGATTAACAGAAACATTAACTCCAAATCATTTATAGAGTATATGAAAAGTAATGTTTGTTTCCTAGACTCAAGTAATGGTACTAGGAAAGAAATATTTTTCTAACATAGGGCCATATGTTTTAAAATAATGAAAATGAGCCCTTATCACTTTTATTTGTGCTAGCATTCCAACCAAGCTGAATTAATTATAAAAGCTTCCAAGAAGTACTGCAGGATAAAAAAAAAACTTATGTACCTTTTTTCCAAATGTTGTACTTTTCTGGAAAGCGAGTTTACAAATTATATGCTTGAACAGTGGCATTAAATCAGGGCTTATTTGGCAGCAGAAGTACTGAAGTGTGCTCCGACAAGAGGGTGCTCATACATATGAATATTTATTAATCTTGACCTGTGTCTACATGAGCGTATATAGACAGGCACTGACTGATCTAAGCACCTTCAGTGGTACTGGGAGGTTTTATAAGGATAAATCATTATGCTTGCCTGTCTTATGGCCAGTGTGTCAGAATTATTCAATTGCATTTGACTGCAGTTCAACAGTCTGTGAAGGCCACCCTTGCACACACATACACATCACATAACACTGTATGTTAATGTAGAAGGGAAAGTTTAAGCTAACACTGACAGGGTTATTCACAAAAGGGTGAAGAGTTTGGAGAAGGCAGGAGAAGTGAACAATCTAGACCAAAAATAGCTGATTTGGAAAAATTCTCCAATTCATCTCACTTTTCAGTTCAGCTATGTTGTCCTAGATTGTTCACTTCTTCTGCCTTCTCCAAACTCTTCACTCTTTAGTGAATAACCCTGTTAGTATATATTGTATTGCTTTTTTGACATTTCATCAAGTACATGGAACAATGACATTAGAATAATTAATAGCATAAATAAAGAACATGTCTTATACAAAAAAAGAAATATTAGTCTTTAAGATAGTTTAATATAATTTTGTTGACTTCCATATAGGCAGCCTAAAATGTCTCCCCACTCAAGTAGGTGCACAGCAGTTAAAATAGAATTTTGCTCCCCAGGCCCTTTGCTAATAGATGTGGTTTTTTTTTTTTTTTTTTACAAATGCCTATTACTGCTGATTTGTACAGACTATATAAGTTAAATTATAACCAAGTACATGGAGGTGGCAGCAAATTTCATCATGCACAATATATGTGGACCTAAATCATGCCTGTATATTCATGCATCTAAATACAACAGTGGCATTGGGCGAGAAAATGTATTTGTAAACTTGCATCTGTTTAGACTGTGTACTAGAGACCAATGTACATGCAACAATACATGCATGTATTTCTGCACACCTTATTACTTGTGCTGACATTTACAAAGTCTTTTGAGATTGAAACTTTTCATGCTACATTTGTGTTTAAAAATTCCATTAAATACTTGATAAATAGTTTGAATGTCACCATTAATTTCAATGGACCATAAGCATCAAAAAATGCACCAGGATTATTCCGTTCTTTAACATTTTATGATGACTTTTGAGTTCTAACTTCATCAGATATAGTACCATTCAAGTAAAGACCACATAATTTTCAGGTAATTTGTTTTACAGAAGCATGACATGAAGTGCAGTTAAAAAGGCTCAGTCATTATAAACTCTTTCGGTCATGTTAAGGTAGCAAGGCCTTTATTCACACCTCTATTCCTTTTGCTTTGATATGCAGCTTTGTCTTCCCATAGTCCTTTTTCTCCTGGGGTTATACAGCCGGAAAGGGTGCTGATTTTCACAACATATAAAAGACCACAGGCTTTTATTGCACTTGGAAGACTTTTATGATCAGCTTGTCTAAAATGATGCATGGCATTCCTCCTAGTAAATGATGGGCATATTTAGATATGTTAGGCATATTTGAAACTTGTTTGCCACTTTCAGTTCATACATTGCTCAAAAATAGCTTTGCATGTTGTATTTACACACTCCAATTTCCAAATTTACAGACAAACAGCTGGCAAAGTCATAAAGTTGGGGGATGAGCATGGGAAGTGACCCAAACACATTGGTTCTTACTCTACAATGGACACTACTATACAAAGAGTATCACAAAAGCACAACAGGTTTTTGGAATGATACAAAAGGAATCTAACTACCAACATTATTGGGAAGGTGCAATAAACAAACACTGAGCAATTGACCCAGCTAAAAGGATATTTCCCACAGGGCAGAAGTCATTTCTGTAAACAGCAATAGGAAGAACATCTGAAGAGTAAAGGATAACACAAATTTGTCCAGGAAAATAACTAGGTGGGCACTTAAAAACTTCAGTAATACACATTTACAAAGCTAACCTGGCTTAATAGCCCTGGCTATGTCAACAACATATAGTGTGAAAGGGAACCAATAGAACATTTTTTTATTTATAGACCCTTTCATATTTTGGCCAAACACGGAATGCGTATATGTAAAATTCAACGGATTCATGTTTACACTTAAATAATATCTGTAGTGAAGGAAATATGGGGGCTGCCATTGTTAAGCTTCCAGAAATGCTGGTTGCCTGACTGACTCTTACATCAATAGTTTCATGTCACCAGGGGTGTCCCGAGACCAGGTGTGTCACTTGCAGCAGATACCGGGTGACACCCCGCTGTGATGTAATTGCGCATGACATTACCATGCGCGTGCGTGTGATGTCGTCGCGCATGAATGGCCATATTTGTTACACCTGCTGATGGCCATCTTGGTGATGGACGCCGGCAGAAAGAGGAGGGGACGTTCACCCAGCGGGTTAAGGTATGGCCCCCTTTTCTCTCCTGCAACTGTCGGGCTCTCAGTCCATCATGACCGAGTGCCTGACTTTTCAGAGAGGGTGACACCAAAATGACTGTCAGCCTTAAAATCAGGAGTATAACCTTCGTATTAAAAAGCCCTAGGACCAAGATGAAGGCATTACACTAGTATTATTGGATTACACTCTGGCCTCAATTATTATTCATATTATTATTAGGGCTGCAGAAATTAACGATTAATTCCGCAATTAATCGTTACAATTTTTTTCGATTAAAATGCTTTTGATCGCTAATGAAAATACTCACCTCTCCGCCGGCGTCCGGGAGTCCCGTCGGAGATCCGGTGACGTCATGGACATCAACGTCACCGGACTCCTCCCCCCTTCCCCAAGTGGCTCCGTCGGCTAACGAAGGGAAGGTGGGGGGTAGTCCAGTGACGCCGATGTCCGTGACGGCTAACGAAGGGAAGGGGGGCGGGGGGAGTCCGGTGACGTTGATGTCCATGACGTCACCGGACTCCTCCCCCCTTCCCTTCGTTAGCCGACAGAGCCACTTGGGCTGGTGAGTTTGCCCAAGAAACTTGTTCTGCCCCATCAATTTTTAAATAGGTTATACTTACATGTAAAGGGAACATCACTGTGCAGCCTGCCAATTAACATCGAACCTTTCTTCTACAATCTTCCCAGCTGGTCAGTGTGCCCACAAGTGTGGACCAAACTCCAATGCATTGGCCTATACACATACAGCACAGCAATGAAGTAATAAAATGAACTAGGATCACACTAACCCAGCACGTTATTATTCTGAGTTGCCCCACTCAAGCGGCAGCCATATTGAGTGGGGCACGTGAGATTAATAAAGTGCTGGATTAGTGTGATCCTAGTTCATTTTATTACTTCATTGCTGTGCTGTATGTGTATAGCCCAATGTAGTTGGATCTGTATGTGCGTTATAATTAATCAAAATTAATCGATTAAAAAATGTTTCGATTAATCAAACACGAAAATTTTAATCATTACCAGCCCTATTTATTATACAGGATTTATATAGTGCCAACAGGTTGTGCAGCGCTTTACAAAACTGAGGGATACAATACAGTTAACAATACCATTTCTGCACAGGAGGTAGAAGGGCCCTGCTTGTGAGAGCTTACAATCTAGAAGGAGGGGCAAGTGATTTTATCATCATGCTTGCAAACTGGGAGTCTATACACATCTTTCCTGTACAAAGGAGGTGGGCATTTGAGAGAACAGCAAATATGCACAGAAAATGCCAGATTAATTTTAGTAATGGTAATAATTTGGGCTCTTCATGAGATGACAATTGCCTGACCCAGTAATTTTTTAACCACAATGGCCAACTAATGTAATTTGTAGAACCAGATGTTCACTGGCCAACAGTTATAAGGGTAAACCCAATTTGTTGCAAAGTTTCCTACCTGAAAGTAGCAACACTTTCTGTTACAGGTTGGCCACACTAAATCAATGCCTCTCAATTAGTAGCAGTGTTGTTAGGCTACCATGCATAATCCTTTAGTTGGCTAATGGGCTACCTATCAGGTCTGTGCATGGTTACTGCAGACTTGACAAGCAGCTCAATAGCTAACTAAAGAAGCTTGCAGGCCGGGCTGACAATGCTGGTGTTAATTAAGAGGCAGTGGCTTCATGTTGCCATCCTGCAACAGAAAGTGTTGTTGCTTGCAAGAACTCCAGGTAAGACTTTGCAATAGATTCACAGTTGGACATGCATGCACTAAGATACAAACATCAACCAGCAGGTTCAAGAACAGAAACTTTCCTGTTAATGCCTGTAGAGATGAATGGTGTTGCCAGATGTTTCCAGCACCATTTACCTCATTCAGGGCTAGTTCACACTATAACTGCATCAGAATTGTGTGCTTCTGCGCAGCTGCAGTGCGATGTGTTTTGACACGTTTGTGATGCGGTTTTGACATGATTTTGCCAGGTCATGGTGCTGTTTTTATTTTTGCTTAAAATTGGCTCCCAAGTGCAGTCCAGTGCATTCCAGTGCGTTTGCATACGTTTGTATGCTTTTTGATGCATTCTGTTGCAATCGGAGCAGCTAAAATGTGGCAAGAAGGATTTTTTTCTGACTGCACTGGTGCGAACAGAGCACCAGAAATTCCATTGGAAAGCATTGTGATGCGATTTTGATGCAGCTGCCAAACTGAACAGACTGCATCACAACTACATCTGGTGTGAATTAGCCCTCAGGAACAACATCAATTGGGGCAGGTCTTCTAACCTGCTCAACATATGTTCCCAGCAATAGGCAGCCAATCTGAGGCAAAGGTCAGGGCCTCTCCATAGATATGAGATCACTTTGATTGTCTTTCATGTCTATGGATACCCTTAAACTGTAGGCAGACAATTATATATATATTGTAAGCCCCTGCAGAACTCTAACCAACACTACTTGGCCCAGCCTGCCCAGGAGAAAAGTGAACAGCTGGGATGAATTTGCCTCACCGATTTTACCCTGAGATGTAGACTTGCATGTTTGTAGAAATATATTTTATTTGAAAGATTGTTTGGTGGCCAGGATGTGTACACAGCCAAAACTTCATGTTTCTCATTGTATCTGATAAGTAAGCTACACTTCTCATATAACAAAAGCTTCAAAAGAATTTTAACATGAGACAAAACCATTTGTTACTGTACAAAGAAGTATAGGACAGTAACAACATTTTTAATTGTAATAAAATGTCCAGAGTAAATCAAACATTGAACTGAAGCCAAGCACTTTTTCTCTAAAAAATTCAGACAATCCTCGGTATGAAAAACATTTTTAGCCCAATTTCTTGAATGACAATCCTACAGTACTTTCCCTAACATGAAAGGGAGTCTGAGCAACACTTTCCGTCTTTTGCTTGTCAAAGACGTTCATTGATAAGATCACCTTGTAGCTCCTTTGTCTGCTATCAGTTTGAAATTAGCACCTCCATAGAATGTAGAGAACCAATTTGGGCATCTTTGTTCCTCTGTATGATTCCAAACTTACATCAAAGAGAATAACGAAAGATCAAAGGCATCAGCACACGTAGGTAGTGTTGTATTTGTTTGTTATCTTCACAGTTGTGTTTAGCTTTGTTTCTTTGCTTTTTTTCCCCCTTTGAGTTGGTCACATCCTGTTTCAGCAGAACACTGAGATACCTGGAGGCAAGACTCTTAATGACCCCTAAGTACCAAGTGTTACTGCTTCCTCGCAGTGTATGGTAGTAACCAATACAGTATGAAAACATAAATACAAATATGTAAGCTACAAACAGGAGCAAGTGGTCTTATAGGTTTGGTTACCTTTCAAAATATTAACTGATAATACATTGCAAGCAATAAAATTATCATCATACATGAACCTGGGCAGGCTGAAACCCTCCAGTCGTACAGGAACTATGCGTCTCATTATGCCCTTTCTTCACTAATGGAACTTATTGCTTACTGTTTCAAATAAATGTAATTAGGAATTAGGAATCACAATAACTAAAGGATTACGATAAAGCAATTACAGTATTCTCATGCAAAATTATTACAATTTCAACACTGCTGGATTAAATTTAAAAACTGCAATTCTGATTTTTAAGGTAAAACAAGGACAAAGGAAAAATATCGGGTTGTTTACACTGACCATCAGCGACTGGAGCTCGAGAAAGAATTTCATTATAGTAGATATATTACCATAAGAAGAAAAAGTGAGCTTGCTGCTAACTTATGCCTTTCTGAGAGACAGGTAAGTTTTAAATGTCAATTGGCTATTATTATTATCATTATTATTATTATTATTATTATTATTATACAGGATTTAGTATTATTATTATTATTATACAGGATTTATTTAGCGCTCACAGTTTGTGCAGCACTCTACAATATAAGGAGGACATTACAGTTACAATACAAATCAAGGCAAGATAATAAGGAGGGCCCTGCCCGTGAGAGCTTACAATCTAAAAGGGAGGGGCAAGTGATATAAGTGATGATATCTGTGTGGGGATGAATTGTATGAGAAAGTGATAGTTCAGTTGTTAGGTTGAGCAAGGATAGGCTTCATTGAAGAGATGAGTCTTCAGGCATTGCCTAAAGACAAACAGAGTAGCAGATAGCCGGACAGGTTGGGGTATGCTGTACTTTAAATATTTGAGCTAAACAATGTGTAAATATTTAGCACTGCTGTTTCAATATATATTTCTCATCCTTTGGCCTTTTAGGTAAAAATTTGGTTCCAGAACCGAAGAGCGAAGGAAAGAAAGCTTTTCAAAAAGAAAATGAATCAGTTCGAGGGAGCAGGCTCTTTGCAGAGTGATTCCAGTTCAGCCAGTCCCAACCCGCACTGTGACTCTATGGTACAAGGGGAAATGACAAGCTCTTTATACCAACAACCACAACTTGCACTCAATGGCCTGCAGCCTGAAGACATCATACAACAAGTTATTGTGTAAAGTGGAAGCTTGCACACAGCCATTTATAACTATCCTGAACTAATTATAAGACAATAAGGATTTCCTTTGCTGTCTTCAGGACTCTGCAAACTGTTATCCTCTCTAACAGAGGTAGAGTTTAGCAGAAATGGCGACTACACATAAAGAAAGTGCAACCTGCCATGCAAGTAGAAACTCTACAGCATAAACTGAAGGATGAAGGCAGTGTTAAGCTTTTTCTAACCTACCAGGGAGTTTCAAGATAAAATGACTTGTTTACTTTGATGAACTAAGAACTTATTAGTTTGTCCTTTTAAATGTCACATATAATATTCTTACATACGCCTAATGAATATTTGTCATCAAGTGCGTACCGAATATTGGTGGTTTAGTGCAAACATTTTTTTTGTATCAACATTTGACATTAAATCTTACTAAGAAATAGTAATTTTACTAAGAACTCTTATCCCATCTACAGTCATTCAAATTATAAGCACATCCATTTCATCCTGCACAGTTTTGGATTCTATTCCATCCAATATCAAATTGTTGCTATAAGAAAAAGGATCAAAACAGTTTGTGCATTTGTGTGAATAGAATAAAAGACTAGAACATCTGTCAAGAGCAAGCTGGCTTAAATAAATGAATTACTGGCATATATATACAGAGCTACCTTTTATTCTGTTCATGCAATTAAAGAGAAATAGGGAGCTGTGTGTAATACTTTGTCCCAATACACTTTGAGCAATAAAGAATTCTCAAATATTTCAACTGCTATGCCAAATTAATTATACATGAGGATTTCATTGGTAGCCCAAAACAGCCTCAAAAAAGCACATTGTAATTTTTAAAGCCACTGGATAGAGTGGGGAAGACTTAATTTTTTTGTAAGTTTTATTTATATCTGTTTGTGACCCCACTGGGGAAATTTCTTCTCACTTCCTGTGCCTGTAAAGTTTGTACAAGAAATGGGCAGCGTACTCATCGCCATGACAGAAAATCATGGGCAACAATAAAAACATTGTCATACATTTTTACCTTTCTTCACTTTACTAAATTGTGTTTTGTCCCTGTTGGAAAGTGTTTTCATCAATTCCTGCGATGATAGGAAATTAAGGAATTTTCCAAAGGGACATAAACAGCAATACAATTCTGACTGAAGTGCTAAACATTCCCCGTTCTATCCAAAACAAAATACAACAATTTGGCTGGAACTGAGTTTATACAGTAAATACTTCTTGTCCAGTTCTGATGCAAACAATGCTTGTAGCTGAAAGTAATATTTCAGTAATAAGTGGAGCATAGTTGAATAGGCAATCCCATTAATTTATAATAGGCTTATAGGCGGTTATGTTTAACTGTGTGAATTTTTTTTTTTTATGCTGATCCTTGGCTATTGTTTCTGAATACAACATTTGTAATGGCAAATATAGAAGTTATTGAACTGAACCCATGGCATTCAATTACTAAAGGCAAATAGGCTGCTCACTTTGCAAGGTAATATTCATTCTGCAAGGTAATTTTACTTAGGGGTCTATTCACAAAATACAGCCTGCTACTGACAGCTGGCCGGCCACTTGCAGAGACAGATTAGCGTCCCTGGTAACCAGTGATGCTGATCTGTCATTACTCTCCCGGACGCTCTGGGAGTCTCCCGCTATTAGATAGCGCCTCCCTCTCGATCGAGCAGAGTAAACCTTTACTTGCCATCTGCACCCGCCCACTGCTGCGGTCAATCAGCAGAGGGGGACCTGAAGTTCTCCATCAGGTCCCCTTCTAGTGATTGACTGCAGCAGAGGGTGGGTGCAATAGCTAGTTTGCTATTGGCTATTGCAAAGTGAAATAGCCAATTGGAATCTAGCTATGCATTCCTAGGGTGGCTTTTTTTTATTTTTTTATTCTGACGGCAGCAGAACCGCCCGGCTGTCACTGCTAGCTCCGCCCAATCGTTTTCTATTTTTATTTCTACTTTTTTAAACAATTTTTCTATTCTGCTCGGTACCACAGAGCAGAGTTCTATCAGTCCATCTGAATGAATGGAAAGCCTCTGTACTGAGTGCTTCCCATTCACTGAGTTCTGAGGCTACAGAAAAAGACATTGTGTCCTCAATGTCTTTTTCTATTTCAAAAGGGAAATGTCAGGGGTCTGTTTAGACCCCTAATATTTTCCTGAAGACCCCACCCCCCCCCACCCCCCCCAACAGTAAAATAATAAATAATAATTTAAAAAAAATTTAAAAATGTGTAAATAAATGTAAAAAAAGCACAAACCCCCCCTTCCCCACACACACATAACATACACCATATTGTGGTGTACGCCAGGCACATGTGCTGCAGTGCGTTGTTAGAACGCATCCCAGTGCATGATTTTTTCCTTTTGTAAAAAAACCTTAATTGAACTGTGGCAGCGCATGGCAAAGCTTTGTGATGCATTGCCGTGCGTTGTGATACCTTGTGTTGTAATTAAATATACGCCTGTATCATTTTATCACAACACAAACACCAACACAGCGCAAAAACTATTTATAACATAAATCGCTTATTTACAGTTTAGCGCTCCTTCATTTTTTTATAATCCCCCTTTCCTCGGCCTCTCATTGGTGTGGCGGTATTCAAGTAAAGAGTTAGGCCTCATTCAGGCGCCATTCACACCAGGGCGGAAGTGTTTCAGCGTGGTTTCCGCACGATTTTTGAAAGAGCTTTTTTGGCTGTTTTTAGTCGCGTTTCAGCGCTGAAACGCAATTAAAAATGCTCAAAAAGTTCTGGTTAGCGCATTTCTATTAAAATGGGGGCGGGGTTTCGTTGTGGGGGGGCCCTTACAAAATCTTGCTATGGGGCCCTGGCATTTCCAGTTACGCTCCTGATCAGTTCCCAGTGTATTTCCATGACCTCACACCATCTGGACTTTTGTGAGCGATGCAAATGCCTTGTTTCATAATGATTTTGTAAATATACTTTTAGTATAAAATATAGATCTGTGTTTTCTTAGAGTGTCTGTGGCTACCTGGAAAAATACTTCGGATTTCTGATTTTCCACTGACTACAAAATACAACACATTTAAGTTACTTATAGAATGCAGAAATTGGTCGAAAATCAGGTCTGCCATGCAATCACAAACATACATCTTTGTTTCTAAAATCTGTTTGTAGAGAACATTCAGAGCCCATTTAGACTTCCATCTATTGGTAACACATATAACATTAGTAGCTGCTTTGTGGTGCCATTTATTTTGCATAGCACCCCAACACACGAAAACAACGCACCTGCGTTATAGTGTTGCGTTACGAAAAAAGGGTCAATGTGCGATTTTAGGCATGTTTGGGTGTATTGGCAGCACATTCCTTTGAGTTTCATCAAAGGATGTTGGACAGAAGCCAGGAGACAGGGCCACCCACTGAGTGAATTTCGGATGGTTTATCAAGAACTGGTCGAGATTTGCTTACTGTATAGCCAACTTTAGCCCTGATTTGCACCTGAGTGTTCAGCAGCTTGAAGTTTTGCTTAACAACCAAAATCATATGCTTTAAAATGCTTAGGCGCCTGTAGCTCAGCAACTGAAGTTCAAAAAAGTACATGAGCTACTACATGAAAAAAAATGAGGTGTTTTTTGGCTCCATAGACTTCAACAGATGCACCTGAAAAATGAGCATTTTTTAAGCCTAAATAACCATCCCCTCGCACTAGCAACTATATGCATTAGCTAAAACAAAAGTGCTGAAGTCCAAATACACCTTAAAAAATGTGCAAAAAAAGTGCAATAAAAACTGATGCAAAGTTGCCTGTAAATGCTCAGGTGGGAGTGCAGGCTTATGCATTGAAGTGATTCTTCTTTGCACATCCTGAGCCTTAGAATCGGGCAGATGAGAGTCCTTCTACATCAGTGCTAGGTGTCTGTTAGTATCCTGCTCCTGTCTGCCAAGACTTTACAACAACATGTAAGGCCCCATTCACACTGAGCGATTTATCTAGCAATTTTTGCAGCGATATCGCTCATATTTCCACGCGATATTGCTCTATGTAGCTTCTCCAATCCATTTCAATGGAGCTGTTCACATCTCGTCGCTCAATATCGCTCAATATCGCTTGTAGCTCCTACATGACCCTTTTTTCGAGCGATTTCGAGCAATTTTGCTCCTGATTGCATACAGCCCAATAGGAAAAAGTCGCACGACAAGTCGCTCAATATCGCTCATATAAAATCGTGCGGAAAATTGCACGATTTTCATGTCGCTCAGTGTGAATGGGGCCTAAAGTTTAGGAGGGTATAGCACGTGTTCCATAGTGGAATACTCTATACCTCACACTAAGATGTTAGTAGTTTTGGTTTGATACAAAAACAAGATGTCATATCATGTATGTTATTCTGTTTAACATTGTTTAACAGTGACACATTATTCATAAATTACACCTATATTAAGCCAATGTAGCAAATATTAATATAAACATAATAATTGTTAAGAATCCTGCAGTTACACAAAAATTCCAGGAGAAATGCCTTAGACCAGGGGTGCCCATAAGGTCGATGGCGATCTACCAGTCGATCGCGTATCGATGCAGGCGATCGCACTGTGGGCGAGGGTCCTGTCTGCGGTGCCTGGCTGTGGTGCCATTGACTTCAATGCACTGCCACGCCCCCTCCCGCCCCTAAATGCAGGTGTTTTTTCGTTGGTAGATCTCATTGATTGCTTGTGACCAACACTTCATTACACAATACTCAGCAAATTGTCTTTGTTTACCTTAACCTCTTGCCGTCCGCCCGTTAAGAAAAAACGGACGGACGGCAGACTCGCATCAGCGGGTTGCCGTGTCCAGACGGCATTTTCATCCTGCTCGCGCGCGCCCACTAGCGTGCGCGCACGGGCAGGAAAGACCCGCTCGTTTCTACAGCCGTTAACGGCTGTTTCACATAAAACCGATCAGCGGCTCTATAGCCGCCGATCGGTTGTATGGCGTGATTTTCGGAG